ATATAGTTTAAGGATATAACTGTACCTCTTTCCATAATTTAATTGACTAGAAGTAAACAAAATAAATAATACTCCAATAGCTAGGAAATGTGAAAGCACAGCATTGTGAAAGCATAACTAATTTTGAACTTATACCGTATAGGAAATGTATCAAATAGTTTGAACCCCGAACTTACACATAAATTTAATTTTGACACATAAAATTTATACAAAAAATATCTTTTTTATCAAACTTATTCCACTTAAAGTTCCTACGCGATTTATGATGTTTGACTAGCCATAAAATTAATTGATCTTTGTCTTCCATAAGATTATTTTTAGTAAATAATATTCAGAATCTACATTAAAAATGTTATAAAGTTGGATATGTAAGTAAAATACTGAAAACAATTCATGTTGACCGGAGTATAGTGGACGAGAACCTTTCAATGGGAATATGGGATGAAGGTAGTATGACATTATTTCCCGGATGACTAATTGAGCATAAATGAAAATTGTAAGATTTAAAGATGATGATCATATAGAGGCAAAAATAATGTCATATTCCAAAATAAAAGTTATATCCCCTCATATAAGAGTAATTATTGTCATGTAGTTATGTTTGAAAAATACAGTCAATTATAATATTATTATTGTCATATTGTTTTTTGGAAGGAATTATTTGTTGAAAAAATGTGTTAAAATTGCATTAAATAATCAATTCCGTGCAGAATTTTGAGTGGGCCCCACTTTCGATTTGGGTAGGATCAAAGTGGTTTCGGATTCCCCTTGTTAAGGGCTTCAATTTGATATATGGTAAACTCAAAACGGATAACAGGTGAATGCGAAATTGATTCTGGAAAATTCACTCGTTCAAATGGTGAAAAATAGGAAAATGATGAATTTCTAATGTGATTTATTCCGTATCTCATATAGAAAAACTCAAGGGATTCTCACCCCTTTATAAAGGTTACCCTCTTTGAAGGAGTAAAGATTTCTAGGTGGAAAGATTCTCTTCACGCGCAAGGGGGTGTTGATCAAATTCCAAAAAACGGAAAAGAAAATACGAATATCGTCCAAAAATCTATCTTATAGCGATACAATTTATTTTTTATTTCATCCCGTGGTGTTCCTGTTTTTTCTAGAATCAACAGGCAGACGGAGAAGGTCTCTGCTCGCACCAGAACGCTTCTGAATCGCTACAACCTTTAAACCCCAACATTCTTCTCCTTCAATGCGTCTTTAAATGGACAATTTTTTGACATACTAGTATTCCACCCGTGCGTTGCACGGGATGTAATTTATACATATTAGAAAATTAAGTATATAAACACTTTTATCAATCAATATATTGACCTAAAATATAGTGTTACATGAATGAGTAAAACTATAAATAAATAATAGTGTAATACATATATTAAATATTTAAAAAGTTCACATACTAAAGTTATTGAAGACCTCTTCATTAACTGTTATTTTCAAGTTATTTAGATTCCTTCGTCAAAGAATATCACAAATGTTAATTTAACCAGACTTGTTATGGTAGAAACTGTAAGGTGCATTTATACATTTGTGAAAGTAAGGTGGCGCAATTAAACTGGCATAGTTGTGAGACATATATTTATTCAAATTTGGAAGTGAATCGTTTCACATCCAACACCAGCTGTAGGCCCGAAGATAGTAGCTAAGGCCAAGGTTTTCGAGAGTGATGTTCTGCAATGATTCGAACACTTTGGAGGTTGGATTGAAAAATGATTATGAGACCATGTATATCAGTATATGTGTGCTCTTACTTTCATAAAATTTTGTCTAATCAATTCAAAACACTGGCAAACTTCTACTCTGCCAAATCTACCAAATTTATTTAGTTAACAAAATATTCCAAAGGAGAACTCAACAATTAAAAATTATCACAAAACTGAAAACTACAAAAAATTAAGCAACTTCAGCGCATTTGAAAAGAATGAAATAATGACAAAAATAATACTACCAGCTTGTATTCAAATAAAAATATGACTGGTTTTAATTTGAACAAAAATAATCCACATTCTCTTCGTGCATTTGGGAGCTATCTGTGTTCCTCTTTGTGGTCCAACACTCCCACTATCACCGCATATAAATATACAATCACCACAGCCGCCGCACTGCAACCGCCACCACTGTGGCGGCACTGCACTGAGGTTTGCAATTCCACTTCTATTTATAATGCAAAATGAAGTAAAGATTTTGATGAAGAGAAGAATTACAGGTAAAAAGGTAAAGAAAAATTTACCATCTTCTGTGATTATTTTATTTTGAAAAGTTAGCCCAAAATAATAAATTAGTCTTACTTATAAAAAGGTAAAAAGCTACAAATATGATCTACTTTACCATTACAGTGTTTAAACATGTTTATTTAGCGCAGTGATACATTTGTTGTAAGCTGTGCCTATCAATTACGGGCAGCTATATAATGGTTGTCTCTAGCAGCTGTAGAATGTTAAAACAATCAAATGAGACTACTCCGTATATGACTATGTCCCTCATTTTGGCCTTTTTATTTCATTTTTAAAGTATCTTCTTTCTTCTACACATCTAGAAATCTCACAGTTAGTCTCTTGGTCTCAACCATTTGGGTGTGAAAGACGTATCACATATATATCTCAAAACTAACCAATCAAATTAATTTGATGTTAAGAGAATCATTTCAACAAATATTATTAACTGAATATAAATAAAATGGTTCTTTGCCAAATTGAACCACAATCTGGAAAGCATCGGATCCAGCTTGTACCTCTAAATATGAATTGAAACTAAACTTGGGTGTTGACGTCTCCAAATATGAACAAAAAAAGCAGTGGAGGGAATTGAAGACTACAATGATGGAAGGAGTAGAAACCGCATGCTTAAGGCTGAAGAAGGTGAGGAAATGAAAGGTCATTGGTTCAGGCGGGATAATAAACGTTAGTGATCTATTGCAACATCCGAAGGTAATACCCATTTTTGGGTGAGCAACATCTGTAACGGAAGGATGAAATAAATTAAGGAGTAACTGATTATTATGTATTTATGTGAGAGACCAATTATTTAATTGCTTAGGAGAGAGAAGCGGGAAATTGTGTGAAGTAAGGATTCTCCCTTTAGGTATATAGGATAGGATAGGATAGGATTAATGCCCAACATCTGCTCATTTATCTCCAATGTTCAGGTCCATTCAAACTCATTTGACACACAACAAATTCGTTCCTATATATAGCTGGCATGTTATTTGCGCAGTCTGCACGTAGTTTCTCAGCTAAAAACGCCTTCAGCTTTTTGATAATTTTTAGTTGTTCATACCTTGTTTCCGTTCACCGGAAAACCGGTTGTGTGCTCATACAGTTGTTCGTAGATACTGTATCCTAGGAAACTATCGCTGCAACGCATCTAGCATCATGGGAGGCAGCGAATACATTTTAATAAAAATGTGTGCTGCACAACCTTTGGCTCTCTGCCCCTTCTTGTTTCTGGTTTCTTGGCTATTTATTTATGCATTTAATTTAGGGAAAACTGTCAAATAGGTCCTCGAACTTTCATAAAAAAATCAATTAAGTCCTTCTATAGGAGACTCTGTCCGGTCGTCGCGATTTGGGGCGGTTCTCGGTGGAATTTTTTGATGAATTTTTTTGAGCATCTTATTCATCAAGTCTAGTTTACTCATACCAACTATCAGTTAAAAATTCAACCGGGGACACATTCAAATTAATTCTTGAAGATAACTGCGCATTTTTGCGTTCTCGAATTAATTTGAATGCGCTCCCGATTAAATTTTTAGCTGAAATTTGCTATGAGTAAACTAGACTTGATGAATAAGATGCTCAAAAAATTTCATCAAAAAATTCCACCAGAAACTGCCCCAAATCGCGACGGCCGGACAGAATCTCTTATAGAAGGACTTAATTGACCTTTTTATGAAAGTTCGAGGACCTATTTGACAGTTTTCCCTTTAATTTATTTATTTTCTGGTTAGCCGACCCCAAAATCTTTTGAGATTAAGGTTTGAATGTTGTTGTTGTTTGTATTTTCCGATTAAACACACCAATTTATCCAACATTATTATTGTCATATTAATGTCAAACTATGCCAGTATAATTCAGGACTACAGTACTTCACTCTTACTTAGATAAAAACGTTATTGTACTGAACTACTGATCACATTTTTAAATATTTTTACTCGTGTTTTGAAATATTTCCGTATAGAAATTTGCTTGTGGAAGCTTATTCGAGGAAGAAGGAATGTATCTAACAATTCGAACACCATACAATCAAATTACACGTAGCTAGTGAAAATGATATGAAGCTAAGTCAAACTATAAATTATCATAATTAACCCTTAAAGACATTTTATGCGTGTTAGATAACTACCATAGTTTTTCTAAACTATACTCGCGTGTATGGTGAAATTCACAAAACAAAGAAACAATTAATTCTGAATTTAATTGGAAAACAGAAGTTTCATGAGAGTAGTGTTGACAACCTAATATATAAAGGACCAAAGAATCACATTTTACCTATACTGGTATTACATGCATGCACATTAACATTATATGTTAAGTATAGTGATTACGACTTAACATTTACTTTTTGAAAGGCGAGGACATCAATGAAATTAATAAAAACCAATTTGACTTGGATGGGAACAATATACAAATACGGATGTTTGTAATTAAATTGAAATTTTATAGTCTGATCAAGTCTAGTCTGCTTGAATCCGAACTCGTCTAATCTTTATGTATTTTATATCTGTCACTCTGTCAGAGACTAGTCTAGTCTGATTTGCTTAAGTTTGCTCTGGTTTAGACTGTTTAAATCTGATATGAACCGTTCTAATTTGATCTGATCTGGGATTGAAAACGGCCCAAGTACAAACGTCCCAAAACAAAACATCATTGTACGAGTAATAATTGAATTCGTTGCTCATCCATTGACCTACCATATTAATTATAAGGTGGGGATCCAACTAGGCAATTATCCAAACTTATATCTAAGAATGACTAGCTGCAAATGCAAATGATCTTCCTATTTTTGTGTACGCAAGAATGAGGATTTAAGAACATAATATAAACGTGTACGTGAAGTAGCTGGCAACTTGATATATAAATCTGCCGACACCCATAACTTGAAGCTTGAAACATTTTTTTAGCATTTCTTTAAGGTCTCCAATATCCCATTAATTAATGGTATGGGGAATTGCTTTAGTGCTCATTCAACTAGAGAACCCCAACAAACACTACTCCCCATTGATTCTGCTTTCAAGCTTCCTTCTCCTTTGCCTACATGGCCATCCTCATCAGGTTCATTCATATTCTTACCTGAATTACTTGCTTTTTTATGTAAGAATGCCGACTACAGCATCCACTCTTTCAAGTTTAGACGGTTCCGATGCTAATATGCGATAATCCGGTAACCCCGAGCTCATGCAGGAACTAACCTGCATTGGAACGTTCTAATCTTGAAAGAGTATAATTAGGATGAGAAAAGTAGAATTGCAATTTTAGTCCCGTAATTATCGGTTATGCTCATTATTAGATCGACCTGTAATTTATAACTAGGTTGCAAGTTTGGTCCTCTAACCAATAATGTTTGCAACGTAAACACCTTTCCACCGTAATGAAATTGTGACTTAGTTACAAATTTTGAAACAATTTAGGGGTATTTGGATCTGCTTCTTAAAACTACTTCTACTTCTTCAAGAAGCAGAAACATATATTGGAGTGTTCCAAAATGCCCCTAGAAGCCATTTTCAGAAGCGAAGGGCAAACAACTTCTGTAATACTGATTCTAATTCTACTTCTGCTTTTAAAAAAGAAGCAGAAGCATAATCAATTGCAAACAGTCAAACACCACTTATTTTAACAATATTTTGATCTTAGCTTTCAAACAATTATGGGTTTTAATTTTTTAGTAAAAATATAATTTTGAACCAATGTTTTTAGAATTCACATTGTATAAACTTATTTGAATTTACTTCTTTTGTTCTGAGATGAAGATGGCTCAGAATTTGGGAGTGGATATATTGATCTTGGGGGGCTCCAAGTCTGCCAAATTTCAACTTTCAACAAGGTCTGGTCAACGCAGGAAGGAGGGCCGGACAACCTCGGGGCAACAATCTTCGAGCCGTCGGTCATACCCGCCGGGTACTCCGTCCTAGGCTACTACGCCCATCCGAACAACCGGCGGCTGTTTGGTTGGGTTCTTGCCGGCCGGGACAACTCCGGCGACCTCCTCAAAGAGCCGAGCGATTACACTCTTGTTTGGAGCAGTGAGCAATTGAAAATCCAACAGAGTAGTCCTGTCTATGTTTGGTTGCCAGTTCCGCCGGAGGGGTACAAGGCAGTCGGACACCTTGTCACCACGTCGCCGGAGAATCCGCCGGCCGGCCGGGTAATGTGCGTCCGGGCAGATATGACGGAGGAATGTGAAGTTGAAGATCTGGTTTGGTCACCTGGGAAGTCTAGCGATCCAAATGGTTTTAATCTTTACCGGTTGAGACCCCGCAATAGAGGTGAAGTAACAAAACGACCCTTCTATATTTAAAAATTTAAATCGGCCGCCTATATTTTTTGAAGTAAAGATGTATTTACTTGGACTTTTTTGTGTTCCAGATCAGATCAGACTTAAACATATCTGATCAAATCTGATCAGATCAGATCAGACTAGACTTAAATAGACCAGACCGGAAAAGACTTGACCTTCGTGGTTATAAAATACACAGAGACCATCCCTTACCAGACCATACCGGACCAATTTAGACCAGATCAGACCAGCAAATACAATCCAAGTAAAAACATTCTAAATATCATCTCACTTCCATGAAAATCTACCGTGATTAGCTTATTGCTCTTATATCTATAATAGGTAGATTCTATGGTACTCATAAGGTATCATACATTTACCTACATGGACCAATCATAATGATGCAATTGAATCATTTAAATCTAAATTAAAGGGATATAATGATTTGGACCAATCAAATACATGACAGGTATGATAACCTATTTTTAAGGGGTACCAAAGTTGTCACCTCTATAATAACATCTTTCTAATCATTTATTATTAATTTTGTATATTTCACCTTGTTCGACTTAAATTTCAATAACAACATTTACTTTCAACAATAACATTTATTTTTCAATCATTTTATTAATAATCATTTCAACTATAAAAAGACACCCAATATGAGATGGAGGTAATAATAAATGAATGAAGATGTACGAACTACAATTCAACACACTTTGAGGATGTTTTTTTTATTAATCTCTAAGTTTTGAATATAGTCTGAGCCAGTGAGGTTGGAATTGCTCTAGTTTAATACTCGTAGATATTTATTCTATGGGTATTATACAACTTTTTGGTCTGATCTGAGCTTAATTATTTTGATCTGGTTTATTTAGATCTAGTTTTATTAATTTAAATGTGGTCTAATAGTGATACTCCGTATATGAATTGAAATGGATCATATTGGCATTGCATTCTACTATTCTTTTAGATATACTTCCGTCCCCAACCAGAGTAGAATTAATATTACAACCCATGACTATGATATTATATTGACATAATGAAATAAATCATTAAGGATAATGCTATTATCAAATCAAATTATTCTCATCAAATCATACTCACTACACTTTGAATTTGTTGTACAGGCACACAAGCCGAAGGGGTTAGTGTTGGCACATTTGCAACCAATACCAACACATCTCTTGCTTGTCTCAAAAACAACAATTTCACAAAATATTCTTCCATTCCCGACCTTAACCAAATCCAAGCACTCTTCCAAGAATACTCTCCCATTATTTACCTCCACCCCAAAGAAACTTACCTCCCATCCTCAGTCAACTGGTATTTCACAAACGGCGCCTTATTGTACAAGAAAGGCGACGAGTCAAACCCCGTCTCCGTTGACCCAAACGGCGCAAACCTTCCCCAAGGCGGATCAGACGACGGCGCGTACTGGCTGGACCTCCCCGCCGACGAATCCGCCAGAAACGCCGTCAAGAAAGGAGATCTAAACAGTTCCGAGGTTTATCTCCACGTAAAACCCATGCTGGGTGGAACGTTCACCGACATTGTGGTGTGGTTGTTCTATCCTTTCAACGGTCCGGCCACCGTCAAGCTCGGGCTGGTCAACATCCCGTTGACCAGGACCGGCGAGCACGTCGGAGATTGGGAGCATCTGACTCTGAGAATCAGTAACTTCAATGGAGTCCTGCAAAGGATGTACTTCTCCGCTCACAGTGGTGGGTCGTGGGTGGACGCCCCGAATCTTGAGTTTCTCGCCGGCGGGAACAAGCCGGCGGCGTATTCGTCGGAGAACGGCCACGCGAACTATTCGAAGCCGGGGACGGTTTTGCAGGGGCTGGGGGATGAGATCGGGTTGAGGAATGACACTGCGAAGAGTGACTTGGTTTGGGACTGTGGCCGGAAGTACGCGGTGGTGGCGGCCGAGGGTGTGGCGCCGGCGGTTGCCGAGCCGCCGTGGCTGAACTATGCTAGGAAGTGGGGCCCGACGGTGACGTATAAGATTGGGGATGAAGTGGAGGCGTTGGAAGGGGAGTTGAAAGGGGGCTTGAAATCGGCGTTTGATGATCTGGTGAATGTGTTTCCTGATGAGGTGTTGGGAGAAGAAGGTCCGACTGGGCCCAAGCTGAAGGATAGTTGGAGTGGTGATGAGAGGTGATTATTGTGAAGGAAAAATATTCCAATATTACTAAAAGTTCTTGTATTCTTATAACAAGCCCGTGCAATGCACGGGCAGAATGTAATTTAGCTAATTTGATTTCTTTTGGATCATATGTAATGTGATTTAAAAGAAAAATAAACTTCGTCTAATATAGAGCCTGTTTAATATAATGTGATTTAAAAGAAGTATTCTTTTTAAGATTATATCTAATAGTTTTAATTTCGTTTTTTAATTTCAAATAATATAGAGCCTGTTTAATATAGTGTGATTTAAAATAAGTATTGTTTTTAAGATTCTATATTAGAATATCTAATAGTTTTAATTTCGTTTTTTAATTTCAATTATATGGTTGTTATAATTTTTATCATTATTTTAATAATTAAGAAAGAATTGTATGAAGACGGAGCAAAATGCGAAGTGTTAACACAATTGCAAATCCGGGGCTTAGAATTTTAATCATTATCACTTTCAAAAAAGAATTTTAATCATTATCTCAACATTGAGTTTAGAAAAAGAAAATATTACATTTTAGGAAATGGGACACTATTATTACATTTTTATTTTTATCAAATTACTTCGAAGACAAAATTAATAGCAATTTGGCCGATTTATCTGTTAAGTGGGCAAAAAACGAATATTTCATATCTTTAATAGAATGTAATAAAAAATAAACAATTATAAAAATAATTAAATGATTGTTACTCCGTGAGTCCGTGCTTAAAATTTGGTTATTAATTGTTGTAGTTCCAATTAAATGATTTAATACTTATCAAATACGTAATAAGTTTTGAAAAAGTTACCAAATTAATTAAGGTAGATTTCCACGGATTTTTGTTTCCATATCAATATGCAATCAAAAATAGAATCTAGCTAATAAAAATAGAAGATATAAAATTAACTAAATAATTAATATATATAATGACATGGCAGAATTATGTGGTGCTTTGTATGCTCTTAAAAAGTTCCTCTTTTATATATATATATATATATATATATATATATATATATATATATATATATATATATATATATTGTATACTCCCTCCGTCCCGAAAAGGTTTGCTAAATTTCTTTTTTTGGATGTCCCAAAAAGATTTTCCGTTTTCATTTAAAGTAAGGAATATGTGGCTAAAGTTAACTCTCTCTCCTCTGCACAAATTTCAACTACACAATTTTTACTTTATTAATCCACGTGAAAGTCAAAGTTGGCGAACCTTTTCGGGACGGAGGAAGTAATTTGTATACTTGGTTTGTTTTTTCCTATGGTATGAGTTGTTTGATAATGAAATGAAAAAATTGCCTCTATATTACTATTAGAGTTGATGGAGTATATGGTCCAAGAACCCCCGGCCCATAGACTCCTACTTCTGCTACACATATCCAATGAGCCCAGAGAACAACTCAGGCCCAAAAGCAACGGCCCAAGCCCCAAAATAGCCCGAAATACATACTGGGGTGCCTTCGGCCTCCTTGGCCGAAGGCTCCAGAAACTCACGAAGTAGCCCTCTCTGACATACGGAGCCACTGGGAGAAAACGGCGAAAAACATGAGCCTTCGGGCTTGCCAAGCCCTCGGCATCAGGGGAGCCTTCGGCTGAACTTAGCCCTCTGCCACTCGGGGCCCTCGGCTACACAGGGAGTCCTCGGCTACACGAGGAGCCTTCGGCTGAACAAGCTCAATCATCGAAGATTCCTTTTAGAGACAGCCAACCACCGCATTTAATGCCACGTCGCATCCGCCAACCGCATTCAATGCGGTTGACGCACCACTGCCGGTGCCACCAGGCTGATGTGACCCTTCGGCCGTTGGATTACTGACACGTGTCCTCTCATCGCATTTATTGCTGCTATAAATAGCAGCCCATTTCTCCTTGTAAATCACAACCTACATTTCAACTCCACATCTCGAGTTCATTTAATAAAATCGACTCTCTCTCCTCCTACTTGCTCTGACTTCTCTCTAAGTCATTCCCGCAATAACCCCTCGGATAAGGTACCCCCCGGGTAGACTATCTATCATTTGGTGCTCTCGTTGAGAGGTCTGAACTATCAAGTAAGAAACCCTCCCCCTCTACCAAACACAAAAACTCTCACCAAAAATGGGAAGAACCACTCGTGCCCAATCCAAGACCCTTGAGGAAAACCACGTAGCCCCCGGCGAAACTAACGGGGCTGAGGCCTCCAACAGGCTCTTAGTACCCGAGGGTGGTATCATCCTCGAATTAGAGCAAGCCACCGCTGACCTACGTCAGCAGCTGCAGAAGAGCACCCCCGATGCCCGCATTGGCCTTGATAATCGAAGGAGGGATCGGAGTGAGAACCAAGTTCCTCCTCCGGCCTCGGCCATCGATCTTCAGGCTGCCTTTGCGGCCTTTGTTCAAAACATGGCTCTCAATTCCGGAGCCCTCGCCTCTCAGGCACCCCTCCAGCCCTACGCTGGAGGGAATGTTATTCAATTGCCACCGCTCCCTCCTCTGTTCACCAATCCTCCCCCGGGGATTGGAAACGCCGAAGGGGTCATGGCACAGGACACCGCCTCCCAAGAGGCCCAATCCAGGGATAAACGTCCCTTGATGAAGGAGAAACCCCGGACCTCTGCACTTGAGAGGCTTGGGGGAGCTCCCATACGCCGAGGGGTCCAAGACCGCCTCGGCAAACAGGAATTCAGCAGGCCTCAGGAGAGCGGAGCCTCCGCTTCGGGAGCCGAGGGCATACCTCCGCCCCGAAGCAAGGGCAAAGCAATCCTCCATGCCGATGACGCCAGACACCAGATCAATCAGGCGCAGTCCTTCCGGGCCAACTCCCAAGGGGTTGCTCCGAAGGATCCCAAGGACGAAATCATTGAAGCCCTCCTCCGTCAGCTCAAGGAGAATCGTCAGGCACCCCCGACGGCTTCCACAGCGAGGCCAGATCCAGAGTACGCTGACCTCCGGGCACAGGTGGAGGAAATGAAACGTAAACTTGCCGAGGGCTCAGGCGAGCCCCTCATTCAACTCCGTACTAGAACACCCTTCACCCCAAGGGTGTTGGCGGCCAAAATCCCCCACAAATATCGGGGGCAACCCATCAAGCCGTATGAGGGGAAGACGGATCCCCAAGAGCACTATAGCCGCTATCAAAATAGCATGATGATGATGGGGGCCTCGGATGAATACTTATGCCGTTGGTTCCTGTCCACTTTGGAGGGACCAGCGTATGAGTGGTTCAACCGGTTGCCCGAAGGCAGCATTGATTCTTGGCAAGAACTTGCCCACCGCTTCCTTACGCAGTTTGCCGGGAGGCACCGCTCAAAGAAACACTTCTCCCACCTTCTGAATGTGAGACAACAGAAGGAGGAAACCCTTCGGAGTTTCCTGGAACGCTGGAGGCAGGCCTCCCTCGAAGTCGAGGGCGCCGATGACAGAACCCTGATGGCCCTCTTCCACACCGTCCTCCGCAACGGTAACTTCTCCCGGAGCATTATCACTGATCCCCCCCGCGATTATACGAAGGCCCTTCAGCGGGGGGACCGATACGCTGAAGCAGAGGAAATCGAGAAGGACCGCCGCAACACGGATCCTTCTCAGAAGAATGAGGGCAGGAATAGGCCCGGAGGACCTCCCCCTCCGGCCCAACGCGAGGCTCAATACAATGATCGCCCCCGAGGTGGCCAAGCCAGGACCGGGGGCGGTTACAAAAACAACCCGAAGGCATGGGCGCAACCCGTCCTCCTTGAGCACCCACGTACTCCCTTCACGCATCTCGTCAGCGTCATTCTTGATCATGCGGAAGAACGGGGGCTCGTGGAGCGAGACTCCCGGACACCCCTCGAAATTTATGCCATCGGCCCTGATGAACCCTATTGCCGCTTCCACCGCCACCATGGACACAAGACCGACGACTGCCATCAGCTGAAGAACGCCATCGAGAGGCTGATACAGGCGGGCCACTTGTCTCAATTTATCAGGGGCCCTCCTCCCCAGGGCCCCCTTCACCATCAAGGGCCGCCACCGAAGGCAAACAAGTGGGTGAACCCCAACACCATCCCCTTGGGGAACCCACAGGGGAAGAAGCGAGAAATTGGGGGCCTCGAAGATGAGGGGGAAGGCTCCCATCAACAGTACAAGCGCCACATTCACATGATCAACGGCGGCAACACCGGGGGCGATTCAACAAGCCAAAGGAAGAAATGGGCGCAGTCCCTTTACATTGGGGAAGTCAATCACATGCCCCCGACCAAGAGGCCGAGGGCGGATCCCATCTTGTTCACAGATGCGGACCTCCCCTCGGGTTCTCTGCCGCATAGGGATGCCCTCGTCATCCGCACTGAGATCAACGACGCCATCATCCACCGGACTTACATCGACACGGGGAGTTCTGTCAACGTCATGTATCTCAGCACTTTCCAAGAGTTGGGACTCGATAGGGGGTCCCTTCGGCACATTAACACCCCCCTCTCCGGATTTACGGGGGATAGCATAGACGCCGAGGGCGTCATCACACTCATGGTCGAATTCGGCGACGGATCCCATAGAGCCAAGCTCGAAGTGGAATTCGTCGTCGTCAACCTCGACTGCGCACACAACATCATCCTCGGCCGGCCTGCCCTCGAGGACTTAGAAGCCATCATCTCCATGAGACACCTCTGCCTCAAGTTCCCCACACCCGCCGGCATCGGCTATTCGAGGGGGAATCAAAAACTCTCCAGGGCCTGGTACCTTCAACTCACCAAGAAGGTTAGTAAAACCGAGTTTCGTGTTGACACCATCACCGCCAAGGCCTTGGAGGAAGAGGAAGGCAGGCCGAGGGCTGAACCTGCCGAAGAGACCGAAGACTTGACACTCGATCCGGCCAAGCCGGAGAGAGTCCTGAAGATTGGAGCCAAGCTCCCCGAAGACCTGAAGGCTGACATCACCGATGCCCTCCGCGCCTACTCCATTGTTTTTGCATGGGGGCCGGAGGATATGCCAGGAATTGACCGAAGGGTTATCACCCACCGCCTGGCGGTAGACCCTTCGGCCAAACCAGTGCAACAGCGAAGAAGACCCCTCTCAGCCGAGAGAAGGGAGTTCGTGAAGAAGGAGGTATCCATGCTCCTCTCCATCAAACACATCAAGGAGGTGAAATACCCTTCTTGGTTGGCAAACGTAGTCCTCGCACAAAAGCCTCCTACTTTCCGCATGTGCGTGGATTACACTGACTTGAATAAAGCATGCCCTATGGACCCCTTCCCTCTGCCAAACATTGATCAACTAGTGGATGAGACCGCGGGATGCGAGATCATGTCAT